CTGGCCGCACAATTTTGGCGTCAGCAGTAGCAGCAGCATTGTTAGCGTGCGCAGTAGTAGGGGCAGGCGGGGGGGTGGTATGAGAAGTAGAGGGCCTGTTTGTGGGAACAGGTTCCTCGGCTTCCGTCTCTCCCTCGCTGCAGTCAGCATCAACATCCATTTCGTCGGCATCAGACAGTATATTATAATAGTTTGTAGTACTCATCTGATTAGGGTCCCGCTTCTCCTTCGAGGATACGATCCGTTTGACCATCTTGGCCGACACCTTTGTAATCGGCGAGGCCAGGGTGGTCGTCCGCTTCTTGTTACGGGCCTCCGACTCGGCCTTCAGCATGGCCATCACCTTCCTCTCCTTTGCGAGTTTTTCCCGCTGCTCCTTGAGAATCTCGTGCAGAGTCATCTGGCTCGGCACGGATGCTGCAAGGGCAGTAGTATTGGTAGCGACAGCAGTGGCAGAACTGCCAGGGGCACAGGTAGCAGCAGAGGCAGCAGCAGCGCGGGCAGCACCAGTAGAAACTGGCGTGCGTTGAGCAGCACCTACACGAGCAGCACTAGCATTACTAGGAACTGTAGTAACTGAAGGGCGTTTAGCTGCAGCGGCAGCTACGCGAGTAGGGGCGGTGGCTTTAGCAGCAGCACCAGGAATGGCAGCACAGGCAGTAGCAGCAGAGGCAGTAGCAGCAGAGGCTCTAGTTAGCATGGCAGAGGGGAGGGCGAGCAATGGCTTCACAGTGGACGGGGCCTGCATCAACTTGGCTGCAGCGGCAGCTGAGGTTGATGGCATGTCGCTGGTCAAGTCTGCCAATGAGCTCGAGCGGCAGGAAAGGGGGTGTAACTCACTTTGCGAAATTCCCGACATTAGTACCGAGGGGGAAAGAAGATCGATTTCATTGTCCGAGCAGGGAGCACTCGAGGCCAAATTGGACTTCTTTTTCGATTTCGGGCACGGTTTACGTACCATTGTTTGTTTTCCGTGGCTTTATTGGTGCAAAACAGACACAATTGTTAATATAGCGGAGGGGGGGGGGGGGGTGGTCAGCAGCGGCTGAAGCCTACCCCACGTTTTTTCACTTCCGGCACTTTGGTTATGTAAGCGGGTTTGTGGGAACTTGTACGCGGCACAACACTTCGTTGCCCGGAATGTATTTGCGAAATATTGCACAATGTATATTAATACATGTGCAATATTATTTCGGGGATTTTGTGGCGTTTTTGGCGATTTAATTATTAATTATTGCGGAACGTTTTGATGTTTTGATGTGTCGTATGCAGCGGAGGCGATACGTAACTATCATAACGTAACGTAACCCGGCTCGAGCCTTGGCCTGCTCCAGCAGGTTAGGGGAGCCAGGGCTACGTTACGCTATGTGGACTTTATTGTACAGATACTTCTTAGCATTTTAGGTACAATGTATTGGGGCTGTTAATAATAAATGTACGTATACAGCTGTCTACAGGCTGCTATTTAGCAGCCGTAGGCAGCGAATACAGTGCTTTTTTTTACAGCAAGAAATCTCATTGCCAGCAGTTCTGCCGGCGCATTCATCTTTTTGTATAATTCTCTCCGCCTTGGCAAACAGTCCGTTTGCCAAAGGGGGGAGGGGGAGTGGGTAGAGTTAAAGCATAATACTCTAGACTTAGTTTAGATTTAAATGTAGACTATAATTAAGGGGATACATTTTCGTTGCCTTACATTGGTAGGGAGGGCGATTATGTATACATATATGTTATTTATTCTAATTATTGTCTTCTATTTATTTTTCTATTTATTTTTTGTCTTCTTTTGATTCTCCTCTGCCCACTGGTCCGGGGCAGCCAGAGCTATTGTTTATTTTGTTTCTTCCTTCGTTTCTTCTTTCGTTTCTGTTCCGCCCTCTGGTCCGGGGCGGCCAGCATTGGGTTGAGTGTCTGTGTGGATGTGTGTGTATGTGGTTTTGCGCAGCAGTCAGTTGTCTCGGCAGTGGAAATGGCAGAAATCCACCACCTTCCAGAAGTTGTTGTTGTCTTCTCTCTTCCTCTCAGGGAGATCACTGGCGCCAGTTCGGGATCTATAGGAGAAGGAGAAACAGAAATTGCGCAGCAGAAATGCTAACGCTCATAGTTGTGAACAGCGGCGCCTTGGTCGGACGCGTTTTTGGCAGTCGGTCGCATGAGTCTTCTACTCTTTTAAACAATTTGCAGCTGTCCATTTCCATGTCGCCAGTTGGTCGGTTCGGAGTGATCTTTGTCAGTGTTCTCGTACCGCAACGGCTATTTGTCGCGCTCGCATATGCCTCTGTGTTTTTTTTCCGTGTGTGTGTGTGTATTCTGTGTACGAATGTGGCAGCCATGGTTGTTGCACTCTTAGGGGCTGAACGGGACTTTGCTGGCGGTAAGTCTTCATTGCTGCTGTACATTTTGGCTGCTGTTTTCTGTACTTATTCCTGTTGCTGGCGGTGGTTGATATTCCTGGGCATTTGTGTTAGTGTGTGTGAGTGTGCTTCCATTGACTTGGCCGTTATCGCTGTGCCGCGAGTGTGTTTCTGCTATCTCGTTCAATGCTGTATCCATTGCCAGGCCCAATCGCTCCAATCGCTGCCTTCTGCTGCTGACCGTCAGATCAATCGTGGCTATGGGAGCAGGCTCCAGTAACCTCCGTCTTGGCAGTATGACCTCGGTATAGTAGTTGTATTCTTGTGGTGGCGATACTGGGCGATCCATCCTGATCAGCATCCTCCGCATTTCGTCAAGGTTCCTATCGTGGCTGATTTGGTCTTCTTCTGTGTATGGGCGCTGATTAGGGATCATCTCGATTCTGTTCCATTGCTGCTTCGCGAGTTCCTTGGGAAGGTGTTTTTTTTTTTTTTTTTTTTTTTTTAATTAGATGCGCGTGCACGCCTACGATGCGCACACTCGCCCGCCAGCTTTGCTACTGGCGGAGTTTATTTCCAGCTTTTCCTATTACCATAACTTCGGCAATTTACATTTAAGCTTAACTAACAACAATAATGTGATTTTTAAAATTGGCGGGCTGTTAACATTAACATTAGCATTACAGTAGCATTACATTAACATTAACATTAAAACATGAAACTAATGGTCTGGCAGCCCTTATGTGTCAATCACAGGATTAACGTACATAAATCAGCAGGTGGTCACAAACAGATAAGTATTGACAATATTTGAACAATTATTTACATTTTAATTTAATTTAATTCTATTTTATTTCTATTTGCAGGTACTGGATCATCGTCGTCGTCTGGAGCAGAGTGTTTGGCACGGTGCGCAACCGACCGGCGCTGGATGAGCGCGAGTGTAAGGTGCGGCAGGAGACGTGGACAATGCACAGCGCCGTGCAGAGTGGATGGAGCGATCGCCGTGGTCCTCCAGGTGGCCCGGGATTCGGCCAGATTTGTGTGGCGATGTTTGCCAGCAGCCATGAAGTGCAGGAAAACCACCCCTGCGTGGAATCGGATGCGCCATGTGTGCAGCGCAAGCGTGTCCAAATTGGCATTCATGGCCAACCAGCAGCCGTAATGACTCTCGTCCGCGGAGCCCTTCTGGAGGCCGGATGCCGTGGTGACGCCCATGAGAAAGGATCAGAGGAGCAACTAGGGGTGTCGCCCGGTGTCGCAAGCGTGTTTGTACACGCTTCAGGTGAGTTTTGTGCCGTTTTATATTACTCTGTGGAGGGGATAATTTTGCAAATTTTAATGTCATTTTTACATTTACCAGGTACAACGACAATGTCCACCACAGGAACATTGGACTTGCTGCGGCCGGATTGCGGCGTCCCAGTGAGCGGCGCCTTGCTGCACCAAAGTGCGGAGTCACTGTGGCGGTGTGCGCAATGTGCCGGCCGGCATCATCGTCGTTGTTGTGGTCATCGTCATCTGAGATGGATTGGACATCGGTGATGATTTGGACGTCGTCGTCGTCGTCGTCATCTGAGATGATTTGGACGTCGTCGTCGTCGTCGTCGTCGACCACCCGTTCAAGGCGCCGTCGGACTTGCTCCAGTCCGTGGTCCAGAAGTGCCTCTTGCAGATTGCGTCGATGGCTGTCGTCCAGGGTGCGTGAGCTGCTGCTTGCAGCCCGTGTCTGGCAACGATGATGTGACGTCTGCCGGTTGCTGCTCGCCAGAATTTGCCGTGTCTGCTGCTGAGTCCGCTGCTGCGTCTGCTGCTGCATCCGTTGTTGAGTCTGCTGCTGAGTCCGCTGCTGCGTCTGCTGCTGGGTCCGCTGCTGCGTCTGCTGCTGCATCTGCTGCTGAGTCTGCTGCTGCGTCTGCTGCTGAGTCTGCTGCTGGGTATGCTGCTGCGTCGCTGGATCGGGATCCCCCTCGTAATCTGGCAGGATTATCCTTTGGACAGAAAGTGGCTGGCCGAAGATAAGAGCCACTATTCTTTCTCGGGGAGTTTGGCCGCTGAGGTATCGTTTTCTGAAGCAATTTATCATCGATTCGTTGAACCTTTCGGGGTTCGGATTGATGATATTTTGTTGTTGGATTCTTCTTAATTGCCTGGCGTCTGATTCCTCCTGTCTCTTTCTTTTCAGCTCCTCCTCTTCGAGACGGACCAGCGTTGGAAGCGATTCCTCGGAGATGGCCGGATCTGGATGTTGATGATGATGGCTGCTCCGATCCTGATTTTGAGGCTGCAGCGGGCGGAAGTGTTGGAGCAGCTGTTGCAGATAACGTGGTCTCTGCAATCGCTGTGGTTCATACGGCTGCAGTAATAGTTTCCGAGCCTCCGGATTGACATGGCAAGCCAAGGAGTTGGCGAAGCGCCCACTTGCCGCATGGAACACTTCGTCGATTGTGTCTAGATTGTGAGTCTGTCTTATCGCATCGTTCCTGGTGAACCTTGTCGCCTTCATTGCCCGTCTAATAATTTTATTTTGTAGGCTTTGCACCCGTCGCAGCTGGGAATCGGATGTAAGTGCGCCCCAAACCGGAAGACCATATTGCCAAATGGGCATGATGAGCTGCTTGATGACTATAGCCTTGGTTTCGTTTGGCAGCCGGCTTTTTGGGCCAGCAAGCCAGTCCAGTTTGGCCGCTCTTGATCGGAGTTTTGTGCAGATCCTCGTGATGTGTGAGCTTAGGGTGAGTTTTTTGTCCAATTTTATGCCCAGATATGTGTGTGATTTGGCAAGTGGCACAGCCTGTCCATTTATAGTCGGCGTTTGCCTTAAGTCCGTTGATCTAATTGTCCTCAGTGTGAATATTACATGTCCGGTTTTTTTCGCATTTATGTTAATGCACCACTTCTTGGCCCATATAGAGAAGTGAGTCAGGTATCTTTGGTTATATTTGACTGCCACATTTGGGATTGCAGATGCGCTCATTATCACCGTGTCGTCGGCATACGTGGACAGCAGCATTGATTCCCGTTCTGGATGGAAGCCAGTGCTGTCCTGGATGAGGTGAGGCATTGGCATGTCCGAGGCATAGATTGTGTATAGGATTGGCCCAAGTACACTACCCTGCGGGACTCCAGCTGATATTTTTCCGATCCTTGACAGTTCCTCGTCTCCGCAGCTCACACAAAAAGTGCGTTCAGCCAGGTAGCTCTCCAGAATGCAGTACAAATTTAAAGGCAGCAGCTTCATCAACTTGTACAGCAGCCCTTCATGCCATACTCGGTCAAAAGCTTCGGAGATGTCCAGGAAAATTGCCGAGCAAACTTGTTTTTTCTCATACGCCTTGAGGATGTATTGAGTGACTCGAGCCAGCTGCTGTTCAGTGCCATGCTCCCGCCGAAATCCAAATTGGTAATTGGGTACGGCCTTGGCAAAATTCTCCACCTCAAACAGTCTCGCCATCAGCAATTTTTCAAAGATCTTTGAAAGGCCAGATAATAGACTGATTGGCCGGTAGGAACACATGTCTGCTGTGTTTTTGCCCGGTTTTAAAATCATTTTAATCTGGGCATGTTTCCACTGACTTGGAAAGTGGCCCAGCCTGAAAATGGAGTTATATATTAGTATTAAATATAATAGCGCTTTTTTTGGCAAATTTTTAATCAGTTTGTTATTGATTTTGTCTCCCCCAGGTGATTTGGACAGCTCCAATGCATCCACAATCTGCATCAGCTCAGGCAGTGTGACTGGTCTGAAGGGAATCCTGGTTTCCTGGTCCGGTTGTAGCTGCTTCTGCCGTTTTGACTGCTCACGCTCTCTATTGATTGCGGCCCGCTCTTCATCTGAATTGGACAGTATCGGGCTGAATCTCTCCTCCAGGTGAGTAGCAAAGGCATCGGCTGTCTCAGCTGTTGACTTTGTCCACGAGACACTTGCCTTGCCTCCAGTCATAGTTGGCAGCCTCAGTGGCCAGTTTGGCTGCGGCTGCCTTTTGATTGTGCTGGTCAATTTCCATAGTTTCTGCATTTGATAGCGGTCTTTGTTGTCAATCCCTGTGAACAGTTTGTTGATGTTTTTGTTTTTCAGGATTGTGAGCCCCTTGTTAAGACGATTTTGCGCCGCCCTGTAGTTTCGTCTGGCTTCGATGGTGCGGGTCGCCAGCCAGATCCTCTTGCACTGCTGTTTGATGGAGAGCAGCTCGCTTGTAGCCTCGTCCAGCTTGAGGTGATGGTGCCGGTGATGTTGCTGTGACCGCTGCTGATGATGATGCTGACGCTGCTGTGGCCATCTTCGATGAGTGTTTGGATGCTGCTGTTGGTGTTGTGTTGTTGCTGCTGCTGCTGCTACCCGTATATTGTTCAAAAACAAGTAAACGACGTCATCAATGTCCTGCGCTATCCTAATCTCGGTGTTGAGATTGATCAACCGTTCCAGCGACTTTTGGAACAGGCTGATATTGGCCACGTGCTGGGAGCAGATGTTTCCTGACTGTGGGCGTAGGATGTCTACGTCCACCGCTGCCGATCGTCAACTCCACCCTGAGCAGCAAGTGATCAGAGTCCAAATCCGAGCTTGAACGGATACTCAGGTGAGTGTCGTTGATTCCTTTGTAGATTCCAAAGTCAATCGCTGATGGTCTCTTTTTTTTGTCGTAGGGATAGTGTGTGGCACCACCGGTGGCCAGCAAATTGCAGCCGTTGTTGGTGTGTACAGCCTCCATCAGTGCTTTCCCTCTGGCGCATCCACGGGCATTTCCCCACCACATATGCTTCGCGTTCCAGTCACCGCATACAAGGAAGGCCGGATGCTGTTTCTTCGACGCAGAGTTCTTCAAAATGTCTTATCAATCCAGTAAAATGGGCAGGCGCCCACTTGAATACAGGCGGACAGTAGATCGGCGCAAAAATAATTCCCTTTTTATTTTCCTTTTCAGTGAAGACGATGACAGGTGCACTCTGGATGAATGGCTTTGAAATTGGCTGCAGAGCAGAGTGGGTGACATCGTCCCGGACCAGGATGGCTACTCCCCCTCTGCGATCGTTTGCCGGATTTTGTGCAGTGTAAGTGTGGAATCCGCTCACAGAGACGGCCCTTGTGCGTGTTTCGATGACCATCATTAATTGTATTTTTTCCCTTTTCAGGAAAACTTCGACCTCGTTCAACTTGTTTGTCACACCACACGCGTTCCAGAAGGCAATTTTAAAAGTGTTGCCGTTCTGGCTGACGCTGTGGGTGGAGATAGTCTGTACTGGATTGACTTTTTGGTTTGACAGGCCATTCGGGACTGGACTATACATAAAAGGCATCATTGGCGGAGGACAGGGCCATGTCCAAAGAGTTTGGTGAACTGCTATTTGTTGTTTTGCTTGTCTTATTTGTATTGATGTTTATTAATTTAACTATTGCAGAAAATAGACTATCGATTTTGGCCTCAGTCTTGAGAGAAATTCTGCATTTTCTTTATGGGCATGGGACTGGAAATTTGCGGGGAGAGTTTTTTGCTGTTCTTGTTGCTGCTGGTGGTGGTGCTGCTGCTGCTCATCCCTCAACTTCTGTTGGAAATTGGCCAAATGATTTTTCGGCCGGATTGGCTTGAGCACCTCGGCTATACAAGGGCCTGCGGGTGTTGGGCGGTTGCTGCTGCTATTGGAGTTGGTGCGGCTTTGGCCCCTTGTACAACTCTTGCGCGCTGCTGCCGCTGATGCTGCTGCTGCTGTGGCCGCTTCCTTTGTGATGGCTGTTGCTTCTCAACAGTACGGACATATGGCTGCTGCTGTTGCTGTGGTCGGCGATGCTGCTGTTGGTGATTGTCCGCTCGTGGCTGGTTGCTGCTGCTGCTGCTGCTCCTGCTCAGTAGTTCCGCTACGTACTACCCGGCCTGTACGACGGCCTGCCGCTGCCGCTGATGTTGCTGGCTGCTGTTGTTGTTGTTGGCGGCCCTGTCGTTGCGTCTGCTGTGACTGCTGCTGATGATGCTGCTGCTGCTGCTGCGTACGCTGGTGTTTGTTGTGTTTCTGTTGTGGGCGTTGCTGCTCGGTTTGCTGCTGTGGCTGCTGGCGTTGCTGTTGATATTGCTGCTCACCGATGAGCCGGTTTGCCCTTAACTGGCTGCGAGCCTTTTTGTAGGCGGCACATCCCTTGTAGCAGCTCACGTGCTTGCCGCTACAATTGGCGCATTTGGGATCCTCCTGCCTGGGTTTCCTGCATGCTGTTGTGGGGTGATCTCCTGCGCATTTCATGCACTTGTATGGCCGTCTGCAGTAGTTTTTTGTATGCCCAAACTCCTGGCACCGATGGCATTGTGCTGGATCGCGTGGGCTTGGCCTGTCTCACTATGGAGACGCATTGATTGGCCAGGTTTTTTAATGTCCAGAATTGCCTCATGGCCGCCATCCGCCTTGGGGCTGAATTTCGACCTCAAAAATATTTAGAGGCCATCCCATTAAAAACGATGTTTTAATCCTCGGATAAACGGGCAGTAAATCCGAGTCGTTCAAGCTCCTCCGTTATCCAGCTGCTGGGAGTAGTGTGATGGTAAATGACGCACTATTACACGATAGCCCCTTTCACTGCGCGGCTGGTGTGTGTGCAATTGGGTGCTGTCTTCAGCTAGGGCGTTCTGAATGGCGTTGTATGTTATAATGTCGTCGCAGTGGACTCTAAGTCCACTGTTGGCCATCGATTTCGTTGTGAATTTCCCCACATTTGGATTTGTTGTCAATTTGTTAATCAGGGGTAAAAATTGCAGGCACCAGGGGCAGGAAGATTGTTGGGACCTGGGTGCTGCGTAATGACTGTTGGACGGCGTTATATTTATACTAATGGCTGGCTGATGTTGCGGCTGATGATGTCCGTTTCCATCTGTTGGCTTTCAGCCTCTATCCTTTGGGGCTCCCTATGTTGGGCCTCCGGAACCGGAACCACACTATTTGACAGTGAGCTTATTTGCCCAGCATCTGACTCCATCTGCCGGGTCTCATGATGCAGCCTTTTCGCGAATTGGCTCTTGAACATGGGCGTGTCCAGAGTGAGGCAGGTGAAGTCATCGTCATCTGTATCCGTTTCGATCGCCGCGCATCTTCTTTTGAGCGGCGAGCGAAACGAATTAGTAGTCAATTTATCCTTTGATATAGGGGTAATGGGCAGGGGCGAGGGCATTTCATTGGCCAGTAGCGGGGAACGCTAATTAGCCATTCCTTTACCAGTTGAGTTCTGGTACTAGGCCTTGTCTGTATGTTATGCTCGTCCGCCTGAGTCAGAGTAGGCAGCAAGCATTTTCTGCTTCTGCTAGTATTATTGCGTTCAGCTGTCGTCAAACTTTGTTGCTGTTGCTGGTCATTGTTTTTCTTTATGCCGTTTACAGTTTCGGCATAAGTCAGTGTGTTTGTCTTTGTTTTGTTATTGGCGTAGGTCAGGCTAGCTTCGTTCTTGTATGTGTTTGTGTTTTGGTTCGGCGGGAGAGAGCAAGCATCTCTCTTTTTGTCATAAGTGTGTGAGTGCATGTTTGGCGGCAAACGCTTTGGGGCTTGATGTGACGAGCCTCCGTTTTGATTGTGCGCCAAGGGTTCGGCTGCCGAGAGAGCGCAAGCGTCGCTCTCTCTGATGCTTGTGTGAGTTGTTTGCTTGTTTTTGTTTTCGCTAATGTTTTGGCGCGAAAACATATGGGCATAACATTTGTTCTTGTTTTGTTTATGTGCACTTAAATGCTCTTTGGTAAGAGCGGAAGCGCCGCTATTTTGGGAACCCGTTGCGCTTTCGCTGGGAACTATTTTTGTCTGCGTGTTTGTACGTGTATTTGATGGCGGTTTTTCTTGTATGTTGGCGTCTGTTTTTGGTGGGATTGGCGGGTATTTTCTAACATATAAACCCCTGTCCACGAAACGACGCTCGAACTCCAGCACCGTAGCTCCCAAGGAGCTCAGGGTACTCTCTGGCGAGTCCGTCTCCAACTCAGCCAGATCCGCATCCCCCTCTGAGTCGAACATTGGTTCGAAGAGGGAAGCATTTGCGGAGGGGTTCCCTCCCAGGGGCCTGGTCATTATATCGGTAGCACTATTTTGAGTAACGCACTCACCACCCGCTTCGGCTCTTGCCGAGTTGTCCATAGCATCCATAACATCCATTTTGTTGGTCGTCAGATTTGGAGCAAGTGCGTCCATTTGGTGGCCTGGTCCAGGTACTCAGTAGCTTGCTTTTTCTTCCTCTTTCAGTTCTTCCAGTTGGGTTTATTGGCTTCACTGAATTAAGGCACGATCACAGATGATTATATTGCATTATTTGCAATTATTTGGCACATATTGTTTATTTAGTTTCATTTAATTTAGTCCCGGTTGAAACATGTATTTTAATACATTTAAAGTTTCCACATAAAACAACAAAAAACACAAGTCACTTTTTTTTTTTTTTCGATGTAATTAGATGCGCGTGCACGCCTACGATGCGCACACTCGCCCGCCAGCTTTGCTACTGGCGGAGTTTATTTCCAGCTTTTCCTATTACCAGTACTTCGGCAATTTACATTTAAGCTTAACTTACAACAATAATGTGATTTTGGATTTTTGCGGGCAATTGACATTAACATTACATTAACATTAACATCTACAGACATGTTTACATTCTATCAGTATTACAGTCTGGTAGCCCTATTTTGACATTCGCAATTATTGACGTACATTTATACAAACAGATGGTCACAAAGAGATAAGTATTGGACAAATTGCAACATTAATGACATTTATAGGCTAATTTAATTCTATTTATTTTCTCTTTCAGGTACTGGAGGATCATCGTCGTCGTCTGGAGCAATGTGGATGGCACAGGGGCATCCGCCTCAGAGCTGGATGTGCACGTGTATGTGATGCTGCAGATCACGCATCTGCGGCATCGGAATTGGCAGAGGCTGGATCCAGGAGTTGGCGTGGATGGTGATGGTGTTTGGGGAGCGACTCTGGTCCGGCCGCCCACGCCGTCTCTACCTGGAGAAATGGAGATTGACACTGGTCCGGCCAATCGGGGTGCGTTGACCAGTGGAAATGGCCGCAGTGGAGATGGCCGCATATGAGTGCGGATTGGCTGCATCCGAGTGGCTGCTGGTCCGGCCACCCAGGATGCACTGTCGATGTAGATGGAGATGGCGTGCTGGCCATTGACGACTGTATTGGCTGGCCTCGTCGTTGGATTGCCGCTGCTGTTTTGTGATGGTGGTGGCGTGACATCACGGCCATCGGTTGCTGGCAGCATTGTCGGAGGGGCGTCCAAATTGGGCCCAACTTGCAACAAAATGTTGCGGTTGGTGGCGAGGTAGGTACTGGAGAGGCTGATCTGTGAGTGTATTGACAGGTAAGTGTGATTAGTAGAAGTATTGGCTATTTTGTGTTGATGCGTGAATTGATGTTTTTTTTTCTTTTTAGCGGCAGTCTGGATGTTGATGGCGACGACGATAGGGCCTTCAAATTTCGCCCATTTGGCAGGAATTGGATGGCGAATTTGGTGTGGCAACTGCTGAAGAGGCAGCTCTATCGGAGGCGTGGCAGGTACGTATGTTTTGTGTGTATTTGGACCATTTTGTGTTGATGTGAATATTGACGTCATTTTTGGTTTGTTTACAGTGGCTGCTCTGGACCTGTGCGGTGGATTGTCAGGAGCGTCGTCAATAAATCCTAAAATGTCGTCCAATTGGCATCAGATGTGTGGAGTTGATGACGGGGCAGCTGCTGGAGGGGCAGATCTGTCGGAGGCGTGGCAGGTACGTGTGATTATTTTGAGTTTTGTCCATATTGTGTTGATGTGTGTATTGACGTCATTTTGTATTATTTCAGTGGCTGCTCTGGACCTGTGCGGTGGATTGTCAGGCTGCCTCAGGACCGACTTTTGGGCTCATCAAAAGTAGTCAGAGTAGTAGCTATCGTAGTCGTCTAGGATATCCGCTATCTCGTCGTCAACTGAATCGTCGTCCGTCCACTGGTCGTCGCCATCGTCGCTGAGTGCTTCGCAGTCCATATCAGAGTCCTCCGATACGGCTGCGGCGTCAGGTTGTGAATTGGCGGCGGGCCTTGTAGGTGTTGGTGCTGCTTCTGGTGCTGCTGCTGGAGTCTGTGTTGGAGGATTGGCCGCTGCTGAGCCACTGCCCTTTGCCTCCGTCAGGCTTGCAATTAATGTGGTAAGTTCTTGAAGTCGTTTCTCCAAGTTTTCTATTTTAACTGCATACTCTTTTAGGAGTCCCACACACTTGCCATCGCATTGAATGGCTGGCTGCTGCTGATGCTGGGGATTTCTTGGCGTCTGGAAACGTTTTGGAGTTGGCTGCACCCGTTGATCGCGCTGGCATTGGCGCCCCTTGGCCTGTGGCTGGGAATGATGGCCGCGATGCTGGTGCTGCTGCTGGTGCTGCCGACCCAAATTGTGACCGCGCTGCTGCTGTTTT